AGGTGAGTTGTGCTGTTTTTGGAGTGCTTGACATTAAGTCAACATCAGATTCCTATGCTACCAGATTAGGCTTGGTCTTAATACAATATTTATTTTTAAATTAAATATTAGATTTACTCTGACAGTTCTGTAAGTAAATGCATAGCTCTACATCTGGTTTATAATTTTTAGCTAAATGAACAAATTCATTTTCAATCCACAATTCTTATTTCTAAGGAAATTTTTCGGAATGAGAATAGCAAAAGGAAGATACACTTTGAAGTTGTATTAATAGTTTGGAAATTTGTCTTCGAAGATAGTAAAAATAAATATATTCTTGAAATGTTAGCTCTTTGTCCTGCCACCTTACTCTTCAGTTTATAATTCACCTACTAAACCGGTGATGCATTCAGAATAGTTAATTACATTCTTTAAAATTTAACAAATCTGCATTATCCCTTATTCTATCCTATCAAAGATCCCTTTCATTCAAAATGGGAAAAAGAAATGGAACCACTGTACTTACATAAAGTAGGTTTCAAGTTTTGATAATAAACAAATAGCCAGAAATTGGGTTAATCAGTTTTTTTGCTAAATTAAGAAATTCATGTACATATCCATAGTTATTATTGTGCCCCGACAACTTATTCTTCTGTCTATATTTTATTTAGTATACAGGTGGGACATTGGTAATGATTTTAGCTTGCTGATAGTTTCATCCTTTAATCAATCCAGAATGGATTTTCAAGCTGATGCCTCTTTTCAAAACAATATTTATGGCTGGTCAGTTGCAAACTTATTAAACATTATTTAACAGCTTGATATACAGAAGTATTTATACATACATTTGTTAGAATTTCTAATCTTTATCTTTTGTTATTACCTTGAAAAAGGAATTATAATGTTGTTAAGTACTTCGAAAGGATTAATAAATTTATTATATCTGATGATTAGGCTGTCATAATCCTGGAATGGGGACGCGGTGGCGCAGTGGCTTAATGATGCTGAAAGTTGCTGGCCAGAAATGGTCGACACTTCAGCGGTTCAAGCCCAGCTCCGTGCAGCAGAATGAGCTCCTGCTTCCTCCCCAGCTCTTGCCAACCCAGAAGCTCGAAAACTTATGTGAGTAGATAAATGGGTACTCTCACCCCGGTGGGAGGAAAAATCCTGGTGGCGCTTGCACGGGAGACAGAGACCAGTTGCCGGTAACACGGAAGCCGCGCCCACCCAAAAAAGGCGCGAAGCATAGGAAACCCCACCTCCTGCGCTCGCCAGCTGGGCTCTGCTCTAGGAAGGAGGCCATGGCAAACCACTTCTGAAATACCTTGCCTTGAAAACTGCAGGGACTCGTCCAGGCAGTCGCTGCAGAATCAGTAACGATTGAGTGCGGATAAAAAAAAATAAAAAATAAAAATCCTGGAATAAAAATCATCAAGGGATCACTCTGCACTATACTTTAATTTACCTAAATGGCTTTTTTAAACTTGGCCACTCATAACATTGACTATTTAATCATGATGCCATTGCCACATCTGAAGTTCCACACTTTTTTTTGTTTTGAAGGAATTCAGTAGAAGCTTGTGTGGCAAGGTCCCTCCCAATCATTACATTCTTTTCTATTCAGACACTGAGCATGTTTTCAGTGTAGTATGGCTCTATTCTGCTAAAAGAAAAACTCAGTGTTTATTACATCTAGCTCAAGTCCAGTTATCTAGGGAAATAGATGAGGTATGAGAGTATTGGAGAAGGGAAAATATAGCAATGTTCAAAAAAGTAGGGTTTGGATAACTGATACTGTGAAGATTTTAGCAAACTTTCCCATCTTTTCAACTTGCAGATGTGAGGAGTTCTCAGCAATGAGCATGCTGGCAAGGGAGGTCTGGGGGTTGAAGTCCATATACCTGAAATTTTCTGAGGTTAAAAAATGCTATACTGGAATAGCTCATAATCAATCAATGTGTGAGTGTATAAAAATAAGCATGGACTTTTCAAGAACAAGTTTAATTTTTTAATCAGATTACTTCCTCAATAGATTGGTAGGAGTAGTTAAAGACTCTCTCAAATAGAGGTGAGTACATGGATATGTTGATGAAGTTTTCTTAGCAGCATTGCAGAAGTGCTTTGCCATTGCTTTCTTCTGAGATCATTTTTCAATATTGCTATCAAGCCTCCAGCACTGAGATGTCCTGGTGGTTTCCCATCCAAGAACTCACCTGGTCCCAGCCTCCTTCTCTGACCAGTATTTGGAAGTACATAGCAGGCTTCCAGGATTTACATAGTTAAAAACATTTCCTTTAAAAAAATTGTTTTAGTATTCAGAAATAAAGTGAAAAAGAGACACAAAAAAGAAAAAAATAGAAAGAAAAGAGGAAAAGAAAAATGAGACAAAACTCAAAGAGAGAGAGACATGCTTTAAACAGAGCACTAATCCTAGACTACACAAAATAATATTGATCAACCAACCTTACTATTATATCAATAAAGGACCAGTTCATAAGTAGTCTGTGCGCACATATAATCAGCTCAAGATTATATGTGCCAACTCACATATAGTAGCTCTGGGATGGCACTGTCTTTCTCTTATAAAAAAGTAAAGTATTTATATACCACCAGAACTTGTGACTTGGGACAGTTTACAATTATACACAAAATACATAATGAAATCACAGTAAGAATATACTGGATCATGGACAACCTTTTAATATAACAGTTATCCAAGTTTATGCTCCAACTGATGCACAGTGATGAGTTTTATGGTCATGTTCAACCTGAAAACAATAGAACATGCAAGCAAGTGTTGCTTGTGCTTGGAGACCAGAACTCCAAAGTTAGAAATTGTAAGGAGGAAAACATGGTTGGACTGTATGGCCTAAGAAATAGAAATGAAGCAGGAGAATGACTTATAATTGTCTGCCAATTCTTCATTGCTAATACTTTCTACAATTAAACAATGTCTATATACATATGGAGATGGAGCACATAGAAATCAAACTGACTATATTATTGGTACAAGGAGGTAAAAGACCTTATAATAACCAAGATTTGTCCAGAGGCTGACTATAGAACAGATCATGAAGTACTCATGTGCAAGTTCCAAATCAAGCTAAAGTGGAAGAAGAAAGCCCATCAGTTTCCATGATATAATCTTGAGCTATACCCACCATTTTTAAAGAGAACATCAGAAATCGCTTTAAAGTCCTTTTTTTTCTTGACAGTCTTGGCTTCATTTGTTTTCTTGGCTATCTAAGGCATTTTCAAGGGTCCTCTCCAATACCAAAGTTCAAAAGTGCCAATACACCTTCTGTCCTGCTTCTTTAAAGTCCAACTTTTGCTTCCATAGAATCTCACAGGAAAAACCATTCCGTGTATGATTCTGACATTTGTAGGAATAGACACATCACATATTGCAGCATCTTTTCCAAGGCCTTCATTGCTTCTCTACCAAGTGGTGGTCTGTAGCATATTCCTGGACTGTGGATTCCTTTATTTGATCGTAAAAGGGAGAAGCTATTCACCAGTTCAGTATCTTCACTGTCAATTGTAATGCTGGTTGTTGTAGTTGTCATTAGTTTGATTTTCTTCATATTTAATCTTAGTCCCATTTTTTCACTGTGTTTCTTGACTTTCATTAATGAGCTTCCAGGTAAGTTACAGGTAGGGTTATCTTGCTTCCTGAGCTCCTGAATTTTGCCTTGGGGCAGGTATTACAGTCCCCATACCTTTTGGTGTTGGGTGACTTCATCCTCCATGCCTCTGTGCCTGGGTTTGGGAAAGCTCAGGAGTTCATGATCTTCATGATAACTATGGGCTTATCCTGATACATGCAGGTGGTCATATGCTACACCTTGTTTTTACCTTAGAGTGGTTGCTTAATACTTGGATTTGAAGGGGATAATGTCTAAGCCTTTGCCATGAACAGAACATTTCCTCATCTGGATGAGATGACTGCCACTGGAAATTTACATGGAATGAATGGGCCTGTTAGAATGATCCATCCCAGGGGTCTCATGGATCTGGAGATGGATCTCATGGATCAGTGGGTCCTTCAGGAATTTCCTAATGATCTTCCATTGATTGTCTGGCTAGCCACTGACAACAGGAGATCACCTAGGCTCTTGCCATGATTGCTCCTGAGTGGCCTCTTTGGTTAACTGAGGAACTCAGGGTTTTGATTTGATTCTCTTATTGTATCAGCAGATGGTTGACTAGCTACCTAGTTTAGGATATGTAGCCAGCTAAATTCCTTTTTGGAAAGTAGTTGCTGGTAAATCTCCCATTTGACATCTTTGAATGTTTGCCACTCACTTTGTCTATGAAATCATTCAAATTCACCAAATGCTTCATAGGCCTTGGTGGTGACTAGGCCAACACCTTGCCATATTAACTGGGTCTCCTTCTGGATTGTGCCTTATGATGAAGTGGATAAAAGGCTCGCTAGCATGTTCCCTGTCACTTGTGAGCTGGATCCCTGCCCTTCCTGACTCTGGCAGGAGATCATAGGGGGAATGCTAGATTCAGGAGAGGCACAATATCTTCAGCCTAGAAAGAAGCTTTGCTCCAATTCCTTGGATCCAGCCAGACTGGACAAATTTAGTCCTTTCTGAACCTTTTAGTAAAAATTGTTGAGACCATTGTGGGAAGGCAACTACAGAACACCTTGGAGGGAGAGAATTATCTAGACCTTTTTCAGCAAGACTGCAGTCCTAGGCATGAGATAAAAACCACATTGATTGAGTTGTTTGATGATGTTTGTATGGATTTAGATGGGGAGTGGGCCTCTTCTGATCCTATTAGAGATCTCAGAGGCCTCTGATACCATCAGACATGGTATCCTTCTGAACCATCTACAGGATTGGAGATAGGGGGCATTGTTCTACAATTGATTCAACTTCTTTCTTGGTGAACAGTTCCATTTGGTGGTTGTGGAGGAAGAGAGATTGGCTTGGTGACTCCCATTTTTGGAGTGCTGCAGAGTTTGGGATATTCCCCCTCACTTTTTGAGATCTATGTGAAGTCACTGGAAAAGGTCATCTATAGGTCCCTTGTAAGTGCAGAATCATCAGTATGCTGATGATGGCAAACTGCATATCATTGGAAAAAGAAATTTGTGTTTAATCCCCTTTTGTTTTGCTACCAAACAACTTTTGTTAAACAATTTGTATTTTGGAATAATTTCTGGAGGCAAATCTAGGGAAAACATTTTCTTCTTTGCGTTCCATTCCAAAGATCCCACTTGCTGAAGTAAATGATAAAATCTACAACATGATCCCTAACTACAATATGATCCCTTATTGTAAATCTTTTAAAAAATCTCACCATAATAGGACTGGTATACAGAATGAAAAAAAAAAGCCTACACGATAAACAGTTTCAATTTCCAGTTTATATTCTGGCTGCAGTGAAAAGAACTCATATATAAATTTATCCATAAAGATAACTATAAACTGATCTTGCTCAGTTTTGTAAGGAATGATTTAAAAACATAAATTATTTCCATGAAGTAGACCCTGTAAACCGGTATCTTTATTTTCAATACTGTTTTAACACTGGCATGTTTGGCAGAGTTTTGAAACTGAGTGATTCTTTTTTCATATGAATCAGTCATTAACGTTTTTTAACTCTGCCATTTTCTGAATTAAATATTAAAATCTTTGCTTCATCTCCAAAACACTGCATTTCACCCACTGCAGTCTGATTCCATAAATTCTGTAGGTCTAAAAGACTATAAATCATGAGGAAGAGATTTTAAAGAGTTAAGCAACTCTATACAACCTTCTTTCTATGTTATGTTCTCTGCTGTATACTCTTGTGAGTGAGTAATAAATTCAAGTTTTACTGTTCTTTGGCTTTGACAAGGTGATCACTTTTGGAGGAATGCATTGATTCCTGCTTGATCTTCTTGATATCAGACACACAATTTTTCATTTCAGAGCAGTTATTTAAGTAAAGAAACATAAAAGAAGATGCCACTTAAACTAGTAGAAGATCAAAATTGCAAAGTGGAAGTTACTAAACTTGTTCAGTTAGGTAAGAATCTTCTTTGCAGAAACAAATGAAGCCATCTAAAACATTTGGCCATGTACTTCAAATATAAGGGTGTAAGTGCCTTTTAAACCCATAGATTTTAAATCACTGTTCCCATGATTTAGTGGACTTTTTGCAGCTTGTTTGGTGGCCTTGAAGTTAAGCTGAGTGCTTATACAACTACCAAACTAAGGCTGGAGAAATGCTGGCATTCAGCTTAGGTCTTATATGAAATGTGGTACCACAAGGTTTGATTTGGGGGCTTAAAAAGGAAATGTAATTTTAGACTACATCAATAGTCTAAAGTCTAGAAGCCAGTGAGTTCTATGTCCAGTTCTCAGCAAAACACTTTCTAACAAACTGGGAGACATGCAAATAAGGAAAATGAGGATTATTAGGGGCTGGATAGAAAATTTTGGGACAAAAGATTGAGGAAATTTGGTATGTTTAACTTTAAGGAAAGAAGACTGATCAGGAGGCAAATTTAATGCTACTGTTCAAGATGCTTAACTGATATTATGCAGAAGGCTGTGATTTCTTCTTTATTGTCCCAGAATAGAGGATACAGAATAAATATCTTGAATTAAAGATATGCAGATTCTGGTTGGATGTTGGAAACATTTCTTATTCTATGACCAGTTAAACAACGGTACCAATTATGAAGGAAGGTAATAAATGTCCCTTCTCTGAATAAGTTCAAATAGAGGCTGGACAGTCACCCATTTGTGATGATTTAATTTGGATTCTTGTACTGAGTAAGAGGTTGGAATCAATTATCTAATGGTATCCTTTGAAATATTTCCTTTTTGATTCTATTATTTTGAAAAATCCTAGAGAACGGATGAAATGCCATTCTAAAAGAGGGAAGGGAAGGCTTCTGAGAACAAGAGTTCCATCTGACACTGTTGTTGTCAGGCTTCACCACAGAAGAACGAATTAATCACTTAGATAATTTCACAATTAACCCAGGAATAACAGATAATTAATATTTTCTGAATAAAATAAGTAGCCATAATAATAATAATTTTTTAAAAACCCAGCGACTTCTCTGATTTAAGAAGCCCTATATAGAAAGCCATGTTCAAATGTCCTTGCATTTAGTTTTTCTTCTTGCCAAATAACTTATGGACAATTTGAAAGCTGGGGGAAAAACCCTTCGACAACAAGTGAATGGAAAAATGGTGAAAAAATTGATTGATACAGAGAAAAGTAGGAAGCTTAGGGAAAGAAAGGGCCATTACACAGCCTTGTGTTGTGCTCCAGTTGCACCTGTTCCTGGATCAGGAGGCTCTGCTCATGGTCACTCATGCCTTGGTCACCTCCTGGATGGACTGCTGTGATGTTCTCTACATGGTCTGC